AGTATAATGATTATATGAACTGAACATAGTAATAATTTTAAAGAGTTTCATTATGATAACGATGATGATGATGATGAGAACGACAACGACAACTAATCAATCGAATACTTTTGCATTCTGAAGAATGCTTATCTGAAATAAATTTCGACTTAAGAAGCATATCTTTTTAGTCATCAAATATTTCAAAAAGCAAGGCATTATTTATTTTGCAAATATTACGTATGTATGTTTGCAGTCCTTTAAGCACTATTTACCAATAAAAATATTATGATTTAAGCGAAGGAGTTTAAACTAAAACTAAAATTATAATCACTTTAAAAGGGAAATTCTCACATCCACTAAAGTAAAGCGTAAACGAAAGAAATTATGCTTAACAAGAGCACTATAAGCGTAACATGCTATGTAATCATGAGAATCCCATTGCACAATTGAAAAGTAGCATAAATGATGGTTATGTCACTACGAAAACTTTAACCTGTGCACAGTAAAGCATGAGAGCTTTTTAGCAGCATAACAGAAAGAGCAGTGACATCCTTTCAGGCATGCTTCTCTGTTCCTATATGAGCTATATGAGCATCAGACCCTTTACTCTCATTTGCAGATGACAGACTAACATATGGAACTATCTAGAACACATAGACTTTATTTCGAGTCCGTCTCACATATCAATTGAAAATTTTTGTAAATAATTAACTGGCGATCAGATTAAAAGGTGTGTTTTTTGGTGTCGTGATTGGTCATTAGTCATAAATGATTTTAGCTCGATTCGGATATTCTGAAGGAATAGTCACAAGAAAATGCTTCGATATCGAATTTGTCCCGCAAACTACACAGAATAAAACGTCTTCTGACATTCTGCTAAATAAACCAAAGTCTTTTGTTTAAGACTGAATTATGAATGCATTCGAGCACTTAAAATTAATTATTTGCAACGAGTTTGACAATCATGGCAGTGATGAACTTCTTCAAAAGCTTTGACAAATTTTCGCATAATTTCTTTCTCTCTTCTTCTTTGCAATTCATTTACATTTAAAATTTTCTTACTTAAAATTTATGATCAAATTTGTATTAGTTATCTATGCGATGATAATAAATTTGGCGAAGATGAAAAACGTGGCTAAAATATCTCTTTTGCTTAGAAAAATTTTACTTTTCTATTTTCTCTTCTCTATGTCACTCACATTCTGTGTAATAGGTAATGTGCATGAATTACAATTCGATATCGATCGACTCATCATTTCCTTTTTTTTTTGTTTTTTGCTTCTCCATACTTTATTCGAATCGTTAGCCTTCTGAACATTATCAAAGCTAACTAACTAACTACGCTATTGTTTTCTGTTAACAACGTTGCTGATGCTATTCCGTTAATAATGTAAATGAGTTGCGCTTTCATTTCTCTTTTCCATTAGCATTCGCTGCATGTAGTTTGGTTTATGTATAGAGAAAAAAAAAAAAAAACAACAACAAAAATACCAAAATGTTATCTAAATCTATGATATGCTTTAACTAGTTAGATGCTAATGTTGAAGCTAAGAAATAAAAAGAAAATAATCAATAGATTATTATGATAAATTTGTAATGCTTCTATTCATTTGCACAGCACAATATGATTATTTGTGCAAATTATATCCATTGTTGTATAGATTCATGCATTCCCATCAACTCTACAATTAATAGAGAATATTATGCCTTTGGAGTTAATTGCTAATATATAAGCGGCCTTGCATTGTTACTGCGTATTGAGATAAAGGTGTAAATGCTTAGTTTCTGCAATCAAAGCGACATGATGTATAGAATTTGAAGAACATTTACTATCAGCTCTTGTGAAACGTAATAAAACTTTTGTGAAACACAAATAAAGATATTATCACAGTAGGATTAGTACTTTACTGTAATGTTATATGGTTCATATGCATATTTTCAGTGTATCACATTTTCGTATAGGAAGGCTGTAAAGGCTAAGAAACTCAAATAATTATATTAAAGTTAATTTTATATTTGCTTTTAACTTTTACAAATAATAGTTCAAAAACCGTAGGCTTTCTTTCATGCCGTTCGGGGTAGGCTAAATATGTAAATTCATATATATATATATATATATATATATATGTGCGTGTGTAAAAAGCTAATATTTTTCTTACATTAAACTTCATCATAAAGAAAAAATTTTTGATTCTTTTTTTTTTTGATTCTAATTAACCGCGCGAGCGTATAGCCCTAATAGATGAATTGAGCTTATATTCGAATATATCAGATGAAGAGATGTCAGGTGGTCTTAAACATATTAAACATTTTGTTCGGGAATTGACACGTTAGGCGTATACAGTCACATACGGCTTGCGATAGACCAGTACAAATGTAATTTGATTGATGCTGGCAGAAAGTTTTAATACTTTCGGCGCGCCATGTGGGATCCCAAAGACAAGAAAACTTTTTGCAAAATTGTCCTATATGGTTAAATCTGTTTTTTTGAACGGTTTATTTGTGCGATGGGGATTGATGCGATATATTTTACTATTTTTTTTTTGGGGCTTTTTTTTTGGTGCATTTTTTTTTTCTATACAAAGGGACAGAGAAACAGAAGAACACTATGCGCTTAAATGAAAAGTAAAAAGCGCTTCTGTTTAAGAAGTTGTTCTTGTTTACGAGCCAAACGCAATAAAAATGATTTTTCGCCTTTTAAAATGCGGCTGACCTTTGCAAAAATGTTTTTAAACGTAGGTTAGACGAGAGAAAGTTTAATTTCTGGACAAAAATTCAGTTTTTCGGGATGACTCTAACAAAAGCAACCAATGAAACTCATAAAGAGAAGGAATACCGCTCCTATAATGAAAACGAAGTCTCTCTGCGGCTCGTATCTGCATAGACGAGTCTGTCTTTCAGGCCTTGTGCAGAACATTAATCTTCATTGTAAACTCTGTTTAATGCTGGCGTCAAATCACATAATATTTTCAGCCAAGTCATGAAGACGTCACTCTCAAAACATAAACATCGTTTTTGTTCATGGTTGCCTTCATGACTTGACCAATGTGTTTTATAATAAAAATTATGATACTGGAGAGTTTTATTATTATTATTGTTTCGGGATAACAAATTTGAAGGTCACAAACACTTAAACAAAAGAAGACGCAATTTTCTTCTGTGGTTACTTGCTCACCTTATGGAACATTAACCTCATTGTTTTACGGTATAAAAGTATCCTAGGTGCTGATCTTAGGCATTGCTTGTATTTTAAAACTAACCGCCCTTCTTAACCTATTTTGAATGGTTATTAACGCAAAAGCTTTTTTTATCTGTATGGCATTATACTGACCATGGGTTTGTGAAAGGTCTATTTTCATCAATCTTAGAGTTAATTAGTAATATTTTTCATTCTCCTTCTGAGCATTAGCAAAACCGGTGTCATCTATATTGATATTAGTAAAGTCTTTCATAGAGTTAATCATGATAAATGAAACCCAATTGGTTTTTATATCATGATATATATACTATCTTACGCTTATTTATGATATAATTAGCGTAAGATAAAATAGCATGAAATATTTTATTTTACTTTTTTTTATATCGTATGATACAAGGGTGAACTTGAGAAGGACTTGTGCCTTTTATTGCACCAATCGAGTTTGAAAGTGTTTCTGATTTGATTTAAGCCTGCTTGTCCGTCTGTCCGCCTTAGATTCTTATATTTAACTTACCAGTCGCAATTTTTGACATATTTTGATGCAATTTAGCAAACGCTATTGGATCACTCGTTGAACTTTTTTTGGTATTTAACTTATGGTGGTTCCTGGCCCTCTATAGTAGTTTAAATTGTTTAACCTTAATGAATTACCCGAATCAAACTAATGAACTTTAAATAAATAAGTATAGATGACTAGTGGGAGATGACTAGTGCTGTGAATTAATAAACATTTAAGAGATAAGAGCTTGGAAAAACTACTGCATAGTGCATCCCCAGATTAGTGCATTTGCGGGTGATGTATATTTTTTAGAGCTTGTTGCACTTTTCCTCCTTTACCACCGTTTCTCGAATGGATTAGAACTCAATCAGGATCAATAAAAATCGCAATTAAAAAATTTTCTCACTATTTATATAAAAATTTATAATAATCTTTTCATCACATTCATTAATCTGTAAGTTCTAGCAATGATTTGTCTACGTATAACCAACCATACAATTGCTTACATATTACGCTACAAGATGCTTACGCTTTTTTTTTTTCATGATAGTTTTCTTGTAGCTCTCATGTATTTTTCATTTGAATGCATTCAAAATGAAATTTCGAATACAAACAAATGGTGCCTAGTGAAAGTTGTGTTCGAAATCTAAAACAAAGTCTTCTTTCAACTTTATATACATTTTTAGGATAAAAAGTGTACTTAACAAAAAAAACAAAAAAACAAAAAAAAGGTGAAAATAACACACTTGTTTTATGAGGTGAGTTATTAAAGCTTTTTTGTTTACTTGTAAAGCAGCATACATAGCACCGTTAAAGCACTTTTATATTGATTACCTTAAGCACTTAATAGCAAATTTTAATTAAATTAAAATATAATAAAATAATTTTTTCCTTTTTATTTACTTATTTATATATTTATTTTGTGTTTACACAATTTTTTTATTTAACATTATGTTTATATTTTCGATTTTTTTCATTTTTAAAAGGTACGTGTTCATTTGAAAACGAACAGGGCGATATACATATGTTTTTTTTTTTTTTTTTTCTATTTTCTTTACAATTATTATATATGTATATATACATACACCTATGAAAATGTAAGGAAAATGTTCATAAAAATATGTTGAGTAAAAAAACGGTAAAAAAAACAAAAAAAAAGGAAAACATTTTTAAATAAAACAACAAGAAAAATAAGAAAAAATAAAAAAAGTAAAAACTAAAAAAAAACAAAAAAACAAAAAAAACAAAACAAACAAACTAAGAAATGAGCATTTTGATCAATGTTTTGATTTTTCCATTTTAAACCTTTAAACTTTACAGTTAGAATAATGGGCATGGACGAGAAATTACATCAGAAAATCTTCGACGATAATTTGGCTTTAATCGATACACCATTGATTGCCAAAGCGAATAGTATACATTATCCGGGTGCGGGAACCGGTTACCAAACACTGCAAGGTGTATTAACCTATCCATTTAATATGAGTGAATTCCATCAGCGTCATATGGCCGCAGCAGCAGCGGCGGCCAATGAATCACCATTGGATATCATTGACACCGGTATGGGTTTTAATCATAATAGCCATAGTCATAAGGGTGGTGTGGTGGTGGTTGTGGTGGTCTTGATATTGGTATTAATATTGAAAAAATGCTATTGCGGGTGTTTATTATGTTATAAAATTTTTTTTTTTTTTTAAAGAAAATTCTTTTTTGTTTCTTTTTCTTTTTCATTTTTTTTTTTTTTTTAAAGTTATCTGGATTATTAGCAAACTTTTTTACGAGGATCTTTTTTTTCAGGAATCACAATTTTATAAAAGAAAAAATTGTTTATAATATGTTTAAATGCTTGAACATATTTTGTAAGTTAATTGACACAATTCTACCGATTTCGGATATAATCTCATTACGCGCAAATTGTTAACACAAAGAATGATCAAAAAATTTGCGAAATGATCTGAAATTTCTTTTGGCTGGTGCACTAGTCTCCCATAAAAGTATATATGTGTGCATTAGTGAGCTCTAGAAATGCTTGCTTTACAATCTAACGGTAAACTTTGAACTCATTATTTTTTCCGCTTTCGGCGAGAGTAAAGAAAATTCTTCGATATTTGTGCCGTTTCTATAATCAGTGATCTTCTCTCATCAAAATTCAAAAATTAAAACCGACTTACTTAAGGAAAAAGAAAAGTTTTAGTTAAGGGAAAAGAAAAGAGTCAAGCTTTTCGGAAAATTTCTAACAATACAGATCTCGATCTCTTTCTTCTCAAGTCTTAAATGTACATTCGATTTAAAACCTTAACTATCCGCTTCAAATGTAGGAAATTGGTTTATTGAACAATGTTGAGGTTATGTCCGTGGCCTGCAAACATTAATTTAAAATCATAATTATGATTGACCGACAAGCCAGTGAAGCAACTTGAAGATCAATATTTCTGCGACAAAGTTTCTCTTACGGTATCCCGCCCATGCAGCAAAAATTCTAAGAAAAAAGAGAAAAGGTTTCTTTGAATTAAAAAAAAAAAAAAAAAAAATACTATTATTTAGTACACACATCAGAAATTTTAACTTTCATTCTGTGCATATGTGTGTATATACGACTATACATATCTGATGTCTATAAATTCGATATTTACCGAAAAGGAATGGAGGAAAATTTTGCATACAACAAACAAATTTTCATTTGAAGAGAGTAACAAACGTTTGAATAGTGCCTTAGGACGTCTTTAAGCAAAGTCAGCCTTCGCATAAGTCAGTTTCACATCCATTAGGGTGCGACCACTTTTTCTTCACTTTTCACGTCTTTCTGACTGTCACCATATTACACAGTCCCTTTGAGTGTTGGGTCATGTAAAAAAAAAAAATAAGCATTTGGGGCTATCCACAGCGAAAAGGAATAAAAATTAAAAAAAAATCCTACTCCGAATGTCTCGATAAATATTTCGCTGGATTGCTATAAATCTTCCCGCACACAAGCATGTGACAAAGGAATAATTGGAACGCTGGCATTGATGCGGCGTCTAAAGTGCTTTAAAATCTTTAGAGAATCTTCAAAACACTTATTCTTAACACTTGTTAACATTTATTTTGTTTAAAAAAGAATGACCATAAGTTATAAACCTCAGATTTCCTTACCTTGAACCTTAATGCAAATCGGTTGTGGCTGTTTTTTTTTTTTTTTTTTTTGCATTTCGAATAACTTCAAGCTAATTGAAATGAGTTAAAATTTTCGGCAACAATTTACGAAAACCGAATGAGATTTGCCCACAAATATAAATTCCCGGGCCTAGTGTACATATCAGCAAAAATCGCAATTGATATAAATGCGAAAATAAAAAAAAATTTGTTTTTTTTTTTACAAATTTTTTAATCAATCTTTGTACATACACATACATGTATGTGTGTTCTTTTTATGTTTAAATAAAATCTTTAGAACAAAAATTTCTTTTCACACAAACTACATATTTTTATAAATTTATGTTGAGTTAGTTTTCTATACTCAAACTGTTTTTCTGTAGTCTTTTTGCTATTTTTCTCTCAAGTTTGGTTAGTTTAATATTTTTGTGTTTAATTTATTTTTTTAAAAAAAATACTACCAAAAATTTTTAACAAATTACATTTTAATTGTTTTGAAAAATTTGCCTTTTTTTTTTCTAAATGGAATTAAAAAAATGAAGAATTACTGACTTTGTTAATTAAAAAAAAAAAAAAAAAAAAAAAAAAATTTAAAAAGAAACGTTTTCAAGCACGCTACTATTCAAGTTCTTTTTTCTTATTATACAAAATTACAAACAAAAAAAAAAAAAAAAAAAAAAAAAAAATCCAGCACCTTTTTAAACGAAACGTTTTGTTAAAAATCAACTAAGACAACATTTTAAACAAAACCCAAACAAACATAACGAAACTATGAAACAAATCTCTCTTCAATACTTTCCAAACTAAAAACAACCGTTTCATGCAAAAATCCAACAAATCGAATTTGAAAATCATTTGCAAATAATTTCATTATATATCAAAAAACAAAAAAGCAAAAATAAAAAAAAGATACAAACTCGAAATATCAGTGAAGCAAATGCCCTCATATCTACACACGTACATACCTACATACATAAATATATATATATATATATTGATATTATCACATACAAGATACAAGGAATTTGTATAAAACCCGAATACTCTCATAATCCTATACAGAAACACATTCTTTTCATAATTTGAATTCAATTTAGTTACGTTTTTTTCAATTATGTTGCCAAAAATCTTCACTCTTCTTAAGCTTCATACTTTAAAAGGAAATTGTTTTTTTTTTCATATTTTTCAATTTCGTTTTATTTAATTTTTTTTTTTAATTTAATTTACTTTTGAAACTTTATTTTAGCTTCAGTTGCCGTAGAACTTTAAATAATTAATGTATTATTTTAAAATATACTAAACAGCTAGTTTATTATATAATAATAACAATGAATAAAAAAAAACAAAAAAAAAAAAAAAGATATCAAAAACTCCTCTCCAAACAGTCTGCACTCGTTCGTTCGTTCGTTCGTTCGTTCGTTCGTCTCTTTAGTGAGCTCAACGTATAATGAATAAATTATTGATTTTTTTCTGTACTCTTTTTTTTTTTTTTTATATATATATATATATTAATTAAAAAATATATATATTTTCATACATATAATTTATAATGTATTAGTATGTGTGATGGTTGTATGAAAACAGTGTAGTTTTCTAGGGTAGCGTTAAACAATTTAAAACCTATACTTTCGGCAGAACCGAGTTAGTTAAAAAACGTATACTTATACCCCTTTTAAACGCAGTTCTTCCTCTTCTTGTTGGATTTCATTTTTTTTTCTGAATTTATTTATTTATTTATTTATTTTTTTTTTTTTTATTACACACAAATATGGCCAAAAAAAAAAATAAATAAATAAAAGATTAATAAAAATTCATTTTCTAAAAACTCCGTCACTGAGAAGCAAGACTTAAAGATATCTTAATTGATTCTAAGTCGGCAAAAAAAAAAAATGGATTTTTCCTAAGATGATTCTCGAAAAATATAAGAAAAACACAAAAAATAAAGCAAAAGAACAACGAAATTAGTTTAGGGAAATTAATGTAATAAAAATTAGCTAAGGGTAAGCAGAAATACTGCTGAGAGTTTCATTTAAGAAAATGTTTTCGTTATAATATTATTTATGTGTAAGATACGGCGGATAAATTTAATACAGTTCTATGAATATTGAAATGCATTAACGCTAGTGTCTATAGTAACGATGTAGTATTTTTGATTTCAACGTCATTTTGCAAAAGTTATTAGTCAGGCTTACTTATATCTTTCTTTTATCAGCTTAGCCCTCCGAGTTTAACTAAAGAGGTTTAATTCCTGTGGCCCGCCTAATAGAAGGGCTCACTTGAATAAGAATTCGGATTGATAGTGGACATCATATATCCGGATAATCTGGTATGTTCTATACCCAAGAAGTGGTGACTTTCTCTTACCGCAGCAAACAAGCACTGACCGGACGAATCGCCTTAGATTACCTCATTCGTTGCATTCATTTAAGTGCTCTTAGAAAATAAGTTCTTAATGCGGTTAGCAAGTTGTCAATTTGATATCTTCCAATGCTCACCGAATAAAATGCTTGCACCAATTAATGGCAATTCGTCTGCTAAAGCGATAAAATGGTTTAGCGAAAGGTTTATATTTATATTTCTTTCTATTAAACAAATGCTTTCACAATGAGCAGAATCATGTGTTTTGTGATCCTTTAAAAGCTCAGTTTGTCTTTTATAAAAACAAAAAAAAAAAATTCACCATCAATGTGGAATGAAAGAGATTTCTTTGGATTCCTACATAACATCGAGATTTGTTATCTCGTTACGCGTTACTTATCTTTATATAACCTGCTCGCCAAAGTATCAAACAATGTCTGAATTCGACGAAGAAACCCTTGGATCTTATCAAAACAACATTTGAACCTTATTCCCCTTCGATGCAGCTTTACGATTTCGATTATTTGATTGACATTGATAGTCAGAGCAAACAATTTAGCATATCTTTCTTTAAGCTTTGTGTAAATTAATTAATCTAACGATTTGTACAAGACCTGCGTGGAATTCGTTCAGCTAAGCTGCATAAGATTATTTTCCCAATACTTAAGTTGTCACTTATAACAACTAATAGTTTTATGTCGCAAGGGATTCTAACTTGTTGAATTAAAAAAAAAAAGCTGCGCATATTTTATAGACGAGATCTTTAAATTGTTTCTTGCTGCGAGAATATATCGGATCTCGGCTTATTCTACCGAGTTACGACTATTTCACGTGACTTCAATGACAGCGCATGCGTAGAAAAGCCTTAAAACATAACTATGCCACTTCACTTAATCTCTTAATTAATACTATTATTGATTGTTCTTCTGTATTCACTTTATTCACACATCACAACATACGTTCAAAGTGTTGTCAAGCCATTGCCAAAGGTGTTTAAAAGAAATATACCTTGCATAGTATGCTGACAGAGTGAATCTATTGCTAGTACATAATAAATTTATTTTAATTAT